TTGGCACCTGCCCAGATGCCCAGTGCCAGGCCCAGCTGGAGCAGAAAAAGGGGACATGGTGGCTGAGAGGAGGGTAACAACGGGCTGTGCTGGCCGTGGTGACCACATAGCTCTTAGGGAATTTCAGCCCAGCTCACAGGCTCCAGCTGCACCGGTTCCCAGGAAAGTCAAGGGGAGTCCCCAAGGGGCACCCACGCAGCTGGTCAGCTCAGTCTCCCTGGCTGTCTCCCTCTGTGCCCACCGCGTCACAGAGCCCCAGGGACGCCCTCCATTCATCCCAGGGACCCCCACGACCTTCCTTTCAGCTCACGGGCAGGAAGCCTCAGTCTCATCCAGAGCAGGGCCTCCTCCCTGTGCTGCTGAGGGTGCCCGCGGAGCCATCCTATGGGAGCTGTCAGGGAAACTGCCAGAGGCCTGGGTTCGAACCCTGCCAGGCCTGGCCTCCACTGAGCCCTCTCGTCTTCCGTCAGTTAAAAGTGGGCCTGGAAGAGCCCAGTGCTCACAGCGCCCTGACACCCCAGCAGCACAGTGACAGGGCCGCCCTCAGGACCACCTGCCCCCACATAGGAGGGGACTGAGGCCAGCCGGTGAGCAGGGACAGCACTCACCTTCCAGGCTGCCAGGGGCAGGGCTCGGGAGACACCCAGGGTGGGTCAGGGGGGCTGGCATGGGGTGGCTGCTGGGCTCCCTGGGCCCTTCCAGGAGGTGTGTGATTTTGTGTGTGCACACGTGTGGATGTGTGCTTCAGCCTGCACGTGTGCATGAGCTCAGGCACACACTGGGCAGGGGGGTGGGCAGGGACATTCTCCAGTCTCTGCTCCTGTATCCCCCTCGCCTTCTCTCAAACTTGAGGCTGGTCTGCGTACCCTGAGGCCGCAGCAGCAGCGGGTGAGGGCTGAGCAGGCAGGTGAGAACCGCTCGGTCCCACAGAGACGGCCCCGCTGGGTTCCCCAAAGCACTAGCGCTGCGGCTCCCACCCGCCTTGGGGCTGTGAGCCCCAGGGGCCTGTGGTCACCACCTGCGCAGGCCCACACTTGTGCTGTGGCTCCACACCCCCAGCCACGCGCAGACAGTGCATGCACAGGACGTGTGCGTGAGCTGCACGGCTGGATGCGGGAGCTTACACATGTGTATGTCAGTGTGTGTGCATGTCAGTAAGTGTGCACACGTGTGCTCCCATATAAGCCTGTGCAGGAGAGCTGGCAATGGCCCTGGAGGGAGGGCCCCCTCGGCTCTGCTCTCCAACACCTGCAGACTCGGCCCTGGTTGTGGTAAGGAGCTGGCGCCTCGTGTGACCAGTGTCAGGGGGTTCCTGACAGTAGTGACCAGGCTGGCCCACTTGTGGGAGCTGCAGGGTGACATAAGGTTGGGGTCCCAGGTCCCCCAGTGCACCCATTCGCACACTCACACACTCAGGCTCAAAGACACGTACACACGGTCATACACGTCCATCTGCATATACTCACATATACTCTTATGTGCACACGTACACACATGTACTCGTACATACACGTGCACTCATTCACACACATACGCTGCGCATACTCATTCACACATGTGCACATTCTCACACACACCTGCTTGCACTCATATGTACTCACACATGTATATGCACATTTGCACTCCTACATACACACCACTCACAAGTGTATTCACACACACAGCCTCCAGCAGCTAACAAGACCCTTCATGGGTGGCCCCAGTGCCCCGGGCAAGCAGCTTGGGCGCAAGTCAGAATCATCATCACTGCCCCACAGCCCTGCCCTGGCCCAGTGCCAGGTGCACCCAGATGGCTCGTTAAAGCCAATTGGTGGGGCTTGACTCCCATTTTACAGACTAGGATACTGAGGCCAGGAGAGGGCACTCACCATGGGCCAGGCTCTGTGCTTCTCAGGGCTCACCCCACGTCATCACCCCATTGCCCCCTGAGGTGTGGACCAGCATCATCCCCGAGTCACAGAGGAAGACACCGAGGGTCAGAGAAGCTGAATAATTCAAAAGGAACACAGCCAGTGAATGGGGGAGCACTCACCCCGCCCGGACTGTGGGGGGCCGCTAGGTGGCGTGGCGCGGGGCCGCGGCTCTCACCCCAGCTCATTCTGTCTCCCCTTTCAGTTTCTCCTCCCCGTTCCTCTTCCCAGAAACTTTCTCGGTAACAGAATGGAAACCAAAAATCTCTGGAGGCCAGCCGCGCTGGAGGGAGGGAGGCGCGACCTGGGCTGGGCTCCCTGAGACCCTGGGGCTCCTCAGCTCCCTGCCAGGCCCCCAGGCAGGGCACTCTCGGGGCAGGCCGGCGTGGGGAGCTGACACAGCTCTCTGCCCCCCAAGTGCAGGCACACTGCACACTCTCACAGTCACACACTCTCATGCCATCATGCTCACAACACTCACACACACACACACACAATGCTAGGCCCAGACGCCAAGGCGACCCTGGCAGGGCGTACGGTGGGAAGGCTCACCTGGACCAGGCCCTCCCCCCATCCTACCTGCTGCAGGCTGGGCGGCACCTGACGTGGGGCAGGGGTGCCCCAGCAGCGGCTCCCTCTCTGGGAGCCCACATCCCGTGTCGAGCTCCCAGGGCTCTCCTCGCAAGGGCCCAGGGCCAGCGCCCTGGGAGCCCCACGCAGGCCCTAATGAGGGCCCCGGCCCCCATGCGGGGCCAACCCGAGTGGTTCTACAGACACTGGGCTGGCCCCAGCCCCCGAGCCCCCAGTCCCAGGGGCACCCCACTGACCTTGTGGCACTGACCCAGCACATGGCTCTCTTCCTGCCTGGCGACGGCCTGAGGGCAGGTGTCCCGGGACCCAGGAAGGCCATGTGGCTCAGGGGCCATGGGGCGGAGATTCAGACTGCATCCCCCAGGCGGGTGAGGCCTGATGCCTCCGCGCTGCCCAGAGTGCTGTCTGGCTGGTTGGGCCCGAGGATCCCTCCTCCTGACAGCCGCCCGCTGCATCTGGGGCCTGTGGCCTCCAGGGCTTCCTCCCCGCCCAGGACTTCCTGTTGCCGGGTCCCTGGGCAGCCCCGGGTAGCCAGCACTTCCTGCCTTCCACCCTCGAGGGCCTGAGGCCCATCCAAGGCCCAGCGCTGTGCCCAGACGGTGCCGTTTGGCCTGCTGGGTTTTAGCCGTCCCCCTCTGTGGTCAGAGACCACAGCTCTCCAGGCCCCAGGGCAACGCCAGCTGTGTCCCCTGGGAGGAAGCTCCCCGCCAGTTCCCCCCCAGGGCCACCTCTGCATATTTGGCTTCTTCCCAGCAAATCATCAGAGCCCCGAATCCCAGGGTGTCAGGCCCAGCTTCTCTGGCACAAGAGACACCCCACAAGAAGCTGGCACTGACACACACTGGAGCTCACCACCTCCCCAGGAGCTCTTGCCACCGACATGGACCCTGCTGCCCTGCTCTGTCCTCTGAGGACACAGAGGGGCTATGCCTCTTGTACCAGAAGCCTTTGGGTTTCAAGTGGCCACCTCTCTGCCCTTTGACACCAAGGGACCAAGGGACCGGTTCTGAGCCTGGGCCAGGCGTTTCCCCATCACCCTCCCTCCCCCTCCCTGAGGCCTTCCTGCCCCCCCCCCCCGCCAGGCTCTGTGACAGAGCGGGGCTTGCACACCTCCAGGCACCATCACTCTGCTGGCTCTGAGAACACCTGGCTTGCTAGAAAGCACTTATGACCCACGTGGCAAAGCACACTTCTGCCACTCCCTGGCCCCTGCCTGGGCCCCCTCAGATGCAGTCTCTCTGGGATGCCCACCCGCACTGGACAGATGGAGGGTGGCTGAGGAGGCCTGGGGTGGAGGCAGGAGCCAAAGCCTCCCCGGCCCTTGCCCCAGAGGGCCCCAGTCACATGACCACAGCCGGGTGGGGGCGGGCAGAGGGCCACACCCGCTAGAGCCCTGGCTTTGCACCCTGATGCTGCAGGGGGTGTCACAGCCCCTAGCAGAGGAGCAGGGGTCTCCATGGAAGTCAGACCCATGTTGGCCCCTTCCCCAACCCTTGTATCCCTCTGGGAGGCTAAGGTCAGGATCCCTGGGCTGCTTTGTGACCTCCGCAGGCCCTTCCACTCTGGGCCTCAATTTCTCTGTGTACCCTCCTATCACCAGAGGCAGCAGGTCATCCCTGCAGCAAATAACGCTGCCCTTCATATTCCTGAAACCGAGGGCGCTCAGCGCCCCCTCCTCTAATAGTGGGAGCTCCACGACCTTTCACACAATGCTAGAAATAACCCTGGAGGTGACCCCACACTGGTATCCAAGCCACAAGATAGGCGGGGCTAGGGTCCCCATACTGGGCCGCTCTGGTCTTCCATCCCCACCTCCCCAAGCTGCAGCTCCTCCCCCAGCCCTGAGACCTCAAAGCTCCAGTCTGGGGACCACCCACCATGCCAGACTCAGGGCACTTACCAGGGTGGGTGGGAGCCAGTCAGCAGGGTGGGTGGGAGCCAAGAGTCGGCCTGAAAAAGAGAGAGGGAGAAACTTCTGGGTTCCTGGGATGCTCAGCCTGCTCTGGAGGGAGGCCAGTGCCCCGCAGGGCACCACCTCCACAGCACCCATGGAGCCTGCCCCCCCCCCGCGGCACTCACAGCCTGCTCACCTGCACTGACCATGAGGACCCTGGGGTCAGAGAGAGCGCTGGCCGGGTGGATGGCCAGGAAACAGGCATGAGGACAGGAACCCGCTGCCACCCAGGGCCAGGTGACTGGAAGCCCCACTGGTGAAAGCCTCAAGGTCCCTTGCAAAGCACCCAGGGCCACCCACAGCCAGTCGTGGACCTGCCTCCTCAGCCCCCATCCTCCCAGGCCATGAGCCCCTCCCCTCTCTGAGACTCACTCCCCGGTCACCTGCCTTCCAGCTCAGGGCTGGAGGATTCCCGGGAACTTGGTCCTGGGCACCATCCAGCTGGGCAGAGGGAGTGGGTGGCCCAGAGAGCAGGGTCTTGCCCAGGGTCACCCAGTAAGGAGAGTGGGCTGAATGGGGCCCTTAGAGACACATGTCCAAGTCCTGGTCCTGGGGAAAAATAGTCAGGACCTTATTTGGAAAAAGGATCTTTGCATGTGTAATTAAGGAGCTCATCCTGGATTAGCCAAATGGGCCCTAAGTCTAACAACAAGCATCCTTGTAAGAGACAAAAAAAAAGCCCTCATAGCAAAGGAAATCAGACTGTGATTACCAGGTGCAGAGGGGGAAGGAGTGGGGGGCAGGTGATCGAAAGGTACACAGTTCCAGAGTCCTGGGGGGGTCACGAACAACACGGAGACTACAGCGAACACGGCTGTGTGGTTTACAGGAAAGTTGTTAAGGGAGTAAATCCTAAGAGGTCTCATCGCAGGGAAAACTTCTTTTTCTCTTTTTTGTATTCTTTTTATCGCATCTATGAGAAGAGGGATGTTAGCTGAACCCACTGTGGTAACCACTTCACAATACATGCAGATCAGACCACCAAACTGTATACTTTAAACTAAAAAATAAAAGGAGAAGAGACACCGAGGAGAAGGCGCTGTGAAGAGAGGCAGAGGCTGGAGTGATGCAGCCGTAAACCGAGGAAGCCGCGGACTGCGGGCAGCCGCTGAAGCTGGAAGAGGCGGCGGCGGAGGAGGGAGTCTCCCCAGGAGCCTCCCGAGGGAGCGCGGCCCTGCTGGCACCTTGATTTTGGATTCTGGCCTCCAGGGCTGTGAGAAGACTTTTGTGTTCTTCCCAGCCCCCAGCGTGAGGTATTTTGCTAGGGCAGCCGTGGGAAAGTGTTTGACACAGGCTCTCCCCGAAGTCCTTCCCCTGTTCGAAGTGCAGGCTCCGGTTAATCTGAAACCCTAGAGGGTGACGCAGTCTCTGTGTGCAGTGCCCCTCCGTGGGCATCCAGCTGGATGGGGCAAATCGGCGCCAGGAGCCTCCTGCAGGCCTGGCCCATCACCTTCCACCCCTCCCTGCACGGGCTCTGAGGCCGTGCCCAGCCCACACCCACCAGACTTGCTGGACTCACCTCCTGGCCTCTAGTTCACGCCCCTGGCCAACCCTTCCTTGGCTCCATCAGGCCATTTCCACCACCATGGATGGGGTCCGGCCCCTGCTGCTGCCCTGGGCCCTGGGCCCGGGGCCTGTCACACAGGACCACCGTGCCCCATTCCCAGTACAGGCAGTCTCCTCCACCTAGAACTCTATTCTCCAACAAATGCTTGCTCCTCCTTTGAGAACAGAACCATCTAGAACCTCACTGCATTCTCTGAATTCTCCAAGTCAATAGCTCAGCCTTGTCCACCAGAGTGTCACATGTGTCCCCCAGCACTCCCCATGGGTCTGGGTCCCACTGAGTCCCAACAGCCCAGGTCAGTGACTGGCCCACAGCAGGGGCAGAGAGACAGACGGATGGCAGGACGGATGGGTTCAGGGTCACGTCTACGCACACGGCTACACCCCTGATATGGCTATAACCAGCACATGCCTGGACCGTCCCTTAGAGCCAGAGAGAACAGTGACCTGGAGCTAATCTGACCCCCAATAAAAACGAATGTCCAGTGGCTGCAGCAAAGTCCCATTGCCCCAGGACCTCTGCTTGTTAAGATAAGCTGCCGTGCACCGGGTGAGCATTCGAATCTGCTCATTGCAAAAGACAGAACAGGAAAAAACAAACAAGAAAAAACAGAGAACAGGCCAGCATCCCCAGAATTCAGCGGTATGCTGGGGTCTAGGAGGCCCCCAGGGCTTCTCAGGGCTGCCCAGGGTGGAGGCGAGAGGCAGCCCCGCCACTCCTGTCGAGGGCCAAGAGGCTAGGGCATATGCAGAAGAGGCTGGCGTGGACAGCTGTCCACGTGGAGCCTGGCGAGGGCCAAATGGAGGCGGGGTGTGATCTCTACTCTGGGACCCTTGGCCCTTAAGCTCTGCCTCCACTGAGGACTCATAAAGCCCGCTCAGCCCCACAGCCCACCCGGGCCCCCTCCCTAGGCCTGGTGTCCTGCCTGGAGCCATCGCTCCCAAACTGGGCAGCATTTCTCAAGGGCCAGGGCTGAGGACTGGCTCAGCACAGGGAGCGGGGCTGGAGGCCCTCCGAGAGTCCAGGTGCAGGGGACCCTCAGCAGAGCCCTGGGCAGGGCTCTTGGGCCTGAGGAGCAGCCCGTCAGTGGGCGGAGGCTGGCTGGCAGGGCCTCCGGGCCCAGGTCCACCATCAGGCCCAGGGTCCATGGCAGGCGGTGGTGCGGGCAGTGGGGTCGGGGGAGGGGCAGGTTGGCAGCGTCACTCCCCGGCTCCACTCTTGCCTCAAACCACAAGCCAGCAGAGGCGTTTCAGGATTCACACTTCAGTCATCATGACTCTGACAAGTTTCCACCTTTTAATTGCTTGAGAAAGAAACTCTCCAGAGTGCTGACGTGTGGCAGGCCCATCCCCCGTTCCTGGCCCCTCGCCCACGGCTGCAGCCCGCCCCACTTGCCAGCCCCTCCCCACCCGCCGCCTGGCCTGAAGAGGCTCACGACCAAGCACGCAGCCAGCGTGGGCACCCTGCATGGAGCACAGGCCCTGCCCCCGAGAGGCGCTCCCCTTCAGATGCTCCTGTCCACCGCGGGGGCTGCTCCACCCACAGGACCTTGAGGGGCAGGATGGCACTGTGGTTAGCGCACAGGCTTCCCTGGGGACGGGCTGGGTTCAGTCCTAACCTTGTGGCCTGCTCTGAGCCCGTTTCCTCAGGTAACCGTGGGGCTATCCTGAGCACCACCTGGCATGGCTGGGCAGGTTCAGTTGGCCACACCAACATCATGGTCGTGTCAGGAAGGGAGAATGCTCTCCTGAACCGCTCCTGCTGGGAGCCAGGCAACTCCTTTCCACCCTGCCCTCGCGGGTCTGGACCCCCAGCACCCGGCCTCCCTGCCCACCATTGGCCCCACACTGAGTCACATTCCCAGGGTTAGAAACTCCACCCAAAGGTGACAGACACATGTGTCCCGGTGGCTGGCTCAGCCCAGAGCCATTTCCCTTCTCCTTGGCCCCACTGCCACCTCCTCGGCCCCACATCCACACCCACTAGGCCCACACACAGCCCCGTCCCTCCTCCTGCACAGGCTCTGCCCACGTGCAGGACCCCCTCCCAGCTCCTAGGAGCCGCTTCGCCCCGCTCACGCCCCCTGCACACTGACTGCAGCGTTTTCAGTCTGTTGACTGTCCGCCCCTCTCTTGACATAGCTCCGGGGGACAGTCATTCCTTGTGTCTGTCCCCTCGGTGTCCCCAGAGTGGACCAGGCATGAAACAGCACTGATACCCCCACAGCATGAGCTAGTGGGGTGCAGATCCCACCCCATTGGTGGGCACTCCTTACTCTGCATGGGGTCCAATCCTGGAGCTCATTTACTGAATTAAACCATTCATCTTGCCCCAAGCATCCCCACTTCTCCATCCCTGGGGGACCCTTGGGTGCAATGAGAGATGCCTAGTGCAGGGGCTCTGCTGTCCACGGAGCAAGGCCTGGACATCCCTGGAATGACCTTGGCCAGGCACTTGACTTCTTCCAGCCTCAGGCATCCTTGTCCACAAAGCAAGGCCAGTAGTCACCACTGGCAGAGCAGGTGTGGGGCCCAGACAATGCACCCTCACACCTCGCAGCAGGTGGACCAGGCCCCAGGCAGACCAGGCTGCCTGACACTGCTTCTGGGGTCCAAGGGGTGTGCTTGGGAGAATCCACTAAGTACCTTTGTCAGGACGCCCAGAGGGGGCAGCATCAGGCTGACCCTGGGCAGACAGGAACCCTCAGAAAGCAGGACTTCCCCGAATCCAGCCTGCTCCACCCCCTTCCCAGTCACCATTGTGTCCGCTCCTTGGGTCACGCCACCCTGGCTTCCTCTGCTCACGCTCGCTGAGCCCCACCCTGCTGGGCTGCAGGAGGCCCCAGAGGGGGTTCTGGTGCTGGGTGCCAGGCCTCCCTCCCCGCCACACAGAGCCTGGTCCTGCCCTCAGCAAAGGGCCTGGTTTCTGCCACCAGCCCAGGCTTCAGGAGCACAGGCTATACCACCAGCCAGACCCTCCTAGGGACACTGATGTCACATGAACAACCTGTGGGGACAGACTCCCCACCTGCTAAAGCCAAGATGGGGGGTCACGAAGGTGGGGGGGCGCTTTCCTGCCTGCAGCCCACCTCTTGGGACAGGAGGGCCAAGCCAAAGGCAGGGAACACCCTCCAGGAATGTCCACCCAGGGCCAAGGAGTCCACTCCATGGCCCACTCAGTCCCTGACTGCCCAGTCTCCTGCTTTCCTGACGAGAAAGTCGAGGCTGATGGGCTGCAGCCATGGCTCCCTTGCCAGCACTGCCTGTGTGGTCCAGAGCCAGGGCCTCCTCATCCACACCATGCAGCCTGGCATTCTGGCCACACCTGGCTCTGAGGGGGCGTAAGGAGGAGGAGGAGCCCCAGGACCTCCTCTCTGGAAGGATGCTGGCTTTCACCTGGCAGAAAACCCACCAGACCAGTGGGCAGTGG